TCATTTTCACCTTCTCCGTAGGTAAAAGAGCTCAGTATGTTCTCCGCTTCCTTACCAAGTGCATAAATCAGCGTGCTCACTTGAACCAGACCATCTTCCTTATCCAGTTTAGTTGCAGTCCTGTAACGGGAAAAACGTTTTTTCCAATCAGGCCACTCCGCCGGGTTCTCGAAACAAAAACTCTCCGGTGGTTGAAACTTTGCCATAGCTCCGCCACTTCTGACACCATGTAATAAACTTGTCCGTTTATTCTAGAATGATGAGTTCCATGTTATTGTTTCAGCACTCCGTTTTATTTAACATCCGCTCATTTAACACCCGTCCGAATATAAACCATTCGCTGCCATAAAACACTTCACTGTCGTAACATCCCCCTTAAGGTGACTGTCATAAAACACATTCTCTAACACAGTCATACAAATGAAACAAGCTGGTAAGTTACCAAACAGGAGACGCATTGTGTAGAGCGAATGTCGATTTGACCAATCAAAGGCTTCCTGTCTGTGGCACTGTCTGCAGTCACCTACAATTTGGGAGAGGTGTAGCAGAGTCTCTGCGTTTACTGCGACACCTACGCAGATGACCTAGTTTCGAAGTATAAATCAGCCTTAAGCCTTCCTCTGCTTATAAGAGTAACAAAGAAGGAGATCAAGATTAAGATCACGATGAAAAATGCAAACATGGACCTGAGTGAAGATTCTAAAATCTAAATAAGCTGTAGTCATTTGATTTGACTGTGTTCATCCAGCAACATTTTATGTTTGTGCTGCTTTTGTTTGAAAGTTATTAAAAAAAAGTCAAAAGATTGACCACTGTACTGTTGTAAAATTAGGCTGTCGTGTAGGTATTTTGGAATCTGAAGCTGACTACTGTCATGATTCTGTCACGGCTTGTCTGGAACCACATCTGCCCCCTCCCAAACTGTTTAAGGGTAATTCAGAGCATTGTCAGGCCTTCTTGACTCAGTTTGAAATTCACTTCAAACTTGTGCCCTCCATGTTTCCTTCTGATAGAGCTAAAGTGGCTTATTTAATCACTCTTTTAGCGGGCAAGGCTAAGTTGTGGGGAACATCAGGGTGACGAAACAATCCTCACCTATGTACTTAATACGATGACTGTTCTTGGGAACAAATCTGATTATTTTGCCCTGTTCTTCATAGTAGAGAAGCTTTGAGGGGTGTTTTTTCTTTGTTTGCCACACTTAACATACACGAGTAAAGGCATAAGCGGTGATACGTATCCCTGTGTCATTTTGTCATCATTTTTCACGTCTATAAGGGGTAACATACAGAGGTAACAGAGGTAAATAGAGAGAGCTAAGGGGAAATGAAAGGGCACTAGGGAGCAACATAGAATAACAAGTGGAAACAACATGATCTAAAGGAAACTAGAAAGAACTTACATGAGACTAGAGGAGAGAACAGACTAACGACTAAAACATAAGGAATGACCAAGGGGAAAAACACTACAAGATAAGATGAGAACATGCCCTAAAGATAAATAACTAACAGAACCTAGACCAGGCAACAAACAAAACCAATTACCGGTATGTAGAAAAGTGTTTTCCAGGAAGAGCAAAACTAAGAGTACAAAAATGAATCAGGATAACACAGAACAAAACAAAGCATACTCGAGAACCCAAAAAAATTTAAAAATAAACAGAAAAAAAAGGTCCATAAATTAAATGTTGCAGTAACTCATAGGTTATTTGTTATCCAGTCGTTGTAGTTGTTGTATCAAAAAATGTATCACCTGCTTTCCACAAAAGTTTAATTTTTCTATAAATTCAATTTAATGACAAAAACTAAATATTTTCATTTTATGTACAATGTTTTTCATTAAATTAAATTCTCATCTGAGGATCTGTGATTAAAATAGATCTTAGGACAACACTAGATTCAAAAACTACAATGATGCTCTTCCTCGTAATAGCAGAAAAGAACTGAAAATGTTTTACACACTAAAAGGAACAATAAAACCGAAATCTTCCATACACGTCGGTAATCCCCCATGATGACAACGATTTGTTGTTAGTTCCTCTTAATATGAGTATAAATATGAGAGCAGATCCTCGCTAAACAGCAGAAACAACAAACTGACCTAAGCTTACATAAAATAGCCTGCCGCTGCCTAAAAGACAAACTTCAGGATGGCTCGTCTGGTTCTGTCTGCGATTGTGCTGATGATGGCTGTCATCGCTTTCACTGAAGGTAAGGTGAAGCTTAAAAATAAGAATACAGTAATTTAGATACACAAATTTGATGCATGGATTACCTTTTATCTAACCTGTTTGGAAAATATCAAATGTCTTAACTGGTAATGATTAATGATAATTTTAAAAGGAAACTAAGAAAGGTAACTAAAGTCGACCATTATGTTGAACATGTTTCTGTTTGCAGGTCTGCGTGGAGTTGGACCAAGGAAGTGCTGCTTCCAGTTCAATGAAAACCCGATTTCAAAACATAGAGTGGTGGACTACACCAGAACCAGTCAGCGCTGCCCTAACCCTGCCTTTGTGTGAGTATTCACTGTTACAGAAGTGCACCAGTGATACTTTATCTACTCCTGGATCTCCTGACGGTCTCCTCTTCCTTTTTCATTTCCAGGCTGAAAACAGTTGCAGGCCGTCAGCTGTGTGTCAGACCTTCAGCACCCTGGGTGAAGGAGCTCATCCGCCAACTGGATGCCGAAGAAGGTTCTGGTTTAAACATCAACCTGTAAAAGTGATGATCTACCCACAAGCCAGCCTGCATGGTTATGTAGGTTGGATGTGATGCTACAGTTTCTTCCAGAAAATAGCAGCTCTCTTCTATATTTACCAAAAATTCTAATATTTTATGGCAGACTACTGGGATGAAATGAAGGGAATCAAATATTCTTCATGTAAATGAAGTATTTTTTTTTTTTTTTGTGGTTCTCATACAGAACAGCAGAAGTATTTTTGTAAAATACGACATTTAAAGTTCAACCATTAACTCTGTGAGCTTTACCTCTATTGTACTTTGAACTGACCTTAGCAAAGCAACTATTGTAAAAGACAAATGTCTTCCAAAACCACAGAGTAATCTTTATCATATAAGCTACGAATATTGCACTTGCTCATGTAACACCTTAATCCTGATTTTATTTAAAGTCTTATTATACTTCATTAGTGACAGCAGTATTGTAATCCTTTCAGTATTTTAATCCTTTAAGTATTGTAACTTATTTAGGAGTTTGTAATCATTTTCTGTATGCTTGAACAATGGGATTTTTACAGAATAAAAATTACTTTTCAAACCAACTTTTGTGTGTGAAATTTTAAGTAATTTGATTTCAGTTCAGTTTATTATTACATTTAAACATATATCATCTTAAAATCAGTTGATTCAAATCATACATAAGACAATAGCAACACAAGGTCTGACCAACGATAAGAAATCTAATTTGTATTCATATTACTTACATATTACATATTACAGACTGACAAACCTTGCTTTTTAATAGTAGTGTTTATTTTCTTAAATCAGCATACACAGATAAACCCACAGGAGACTAGTAAAAGTTAGTGTTTATTGCACAGAGGAGGGACAAGACAACACTGAAATCCTGGGGGAGGACCAGAGAGCCAAGAACCAGGAAACTGCGTGGAAAAGATGACAGGTACATTTGTTTTAATCTTGCAGTTTGCTAAGAATTGTTGTGCAACTTTACCCGAAGATTATCAATATATTGAATAACTAGAACTGGAAGTTATAGCTAATTAATAGGTAATTCAAATAAAGGGAAAACTAATTATTTTGAGTTGAATGATTATAACTAATTTGCTTCCTCACCAAGATTCTTAGTCTCTTATATAAAAGGATGGACTCCTGGACGGGATGCCTAAATCCAGTTGCCTTCACCAATTTAGTAATTTAGACTATGGCTATTAGCAGAGTTATTCATCACCAACTAAATAAATCTGTCTCTGTTCATTTGTTACTGAAAGAAGAGTGAATCTGTTCTGAGTAATAAATCGTTCACTTGGTAAAATAAACACAAAAGACAACAGGTTAAAGAGCAATAATATCTTTATTAGCTAATAATAACACAGTATTATTATATCTAATAACTACACAGACACTAAACACTAATGAAAATAAAAACAAGTAAATAAACAAATGAAAGGGGGCTTAGGGGTCCGTTTAAGAGTCTCTGTTTTAAGTTTTAAGGCTTAATGCATTAAAAGTGTCCTTTAAAATAGTAGCAGATGAATCTGAAAAAAAAAACCCTGATGCAGATATATTAAATGCAGTCAAAGCAGTGCAGTTTAATTCTGTTTTATAGTTAAAAATGAAAAAATGACTCAGGAATGCATTAAACTGTGATGACGCTGAAAGATAATGAGTTAGCTTAGCTGGCTCCAGGAGGTCTGGTCTGGGCGGGTCCAGCTGATGCAAAGGAAAGGTTATAGAGCTCACAACATGGCCTCTACAATGTGGCTGGCATGAGGAAGTTGGGAGCTAACGATCCTAACCAGTCAATTTAGTAGTCCCTTCAGACCCACGTTGGTTGTTCTGTCAGCTCAGTGACCATTAGCAATCAGTTCAGAACTATTACAACCATCAACAGTTGAAATCAGAAAGTTTATTTCAAATAAAATGCAAACACATGCACAACAATCTGTTTTACTAAGTTCGCCCAAGCAGAGCACTTATTAATCAGATGGAAAGAGGCAAGTATGGATGTTACTGTTTTGGCTTGGTGTGGCGAAAGGGACTTTCTGGCCCAGTTAGGTCAGCTCAAACCTCTTCTTCGCTCCAGTCCGTTACTCCAGCAGCAGCTCTCAAACATATTTTGATTAATCCGATGCAAAATATGGAGGCAACTTTGCATGGGTTAATTTTACAACTCACAGTAGCCCGGGACATTTCCCTTTAGCTATGGCAGTTAGGTGGTTGCTTTGCCTCAAGTAGTGAAGGCTGAAGGCAGGCGACTCCCTTCATGCCATCTGTGGCATCTTAGGCAGTGGCAGCATTGTCTCAGGAAGTGACAGGACCAGTATGGCCAGCGGCTTCCAACAGCTTTTGGTAAACAGCAACTGGGCACAGCTGTTTACCTTCAGAGGTCATAGGTATGTAAACCGGAGCTGGATAGCTCTCTTCTCCGCTTCAGCAGGTGGGTTCACGAAGAGAGTCGTTCCTGTTACATACCAGACATTTAATCTCAACAGAATTATTGAACTGCTGACTTTAATAGTGGATGAAACAAAGTCAAGGAGAGTTAAGCAGTAGATGGTTGATGGGTCTGAGGTTGGAAATTAGCAGCTTAATCTGTACGAGTTGGAATGTGGGAGTACCAATAAAAAGAGCCAATGCACAATGTTTTTTCTCCCACACTTTTTACATTTGATCACTGCAAAATGAAATTTCGTTTTGTATACACTCTGTGTATACAAAATGACAATTAAAGTTGTCTAAGTCAATAAATCTAGGGAAAACTTTCTTCGATGTGGATTTCAAAAGGATTTCCCAGGGAAAGAGCCAAGCATTCTGATCTAGCTCGTACTGAGGTGCTGGGGTTCTCTTGTTTTCTGCATAACTGTGATTCTGATCACAAGGGCAGTGATGGTGTTGGTTTAATTCAATTCAGTTTAGTTAATTATCTCCAGTTCACAACACAGGTCATCTCATTAAGTTGCAAGACATGCTTCTCTTGGATGAGCTTGCAGCACCGATTTTTGCCTGCACTTTCTTGTTGTCTCTTCAGCCAACCCGAGTATGAATTCAATGACAGTAGAGGGTAAAAACTCCCTTTTAACAAAAGCTACAACCAGGCTCTGTGTGAGCGGCCTTCTGACAACGCCGACTGGGTTTAAAGGAGATAGAAGTAGACATACAAATATATA